CAAAACCAAACTCTTATTTTTCCTCTCCAATCTTGCTGCTCTTGCAGTACCTCAAGCAAAAAGCTATGCAGTCATTATAGACTCATCTCTCTCTGTCCACATTTAGTTCTTTGGTAAAGTATATGGATTCAAAATATACTCTAAATCTCACCAGTGCTCATGACTGCCATCACTACAATTTTGGTCCAAAGCACATTCTTCTATGGCTTAGCCTATGGCACAGTAATCTAACTGTTCTTAGAGATTCCATCTTGACTTTGCTCCAGCTGATAGTCCAGTCAGTAGCAATAGCAATCCATTTAAAATACAAGTCAGATCTCTTTACTTCTTTTCTCTAAGTTCTCCAGTGGTTCCCCATTTCACTCAAAATAAAAGCTAGCCTGATAAGATTTAACACCCAACATCCTCTCTGATTTCATCTCCTTTCACTTCACTCAGCTCTCTCTGTCACAGACATACCAGTCTCTTTAATGTGTTGAGTACAGCTAGTTGCTCTGGATTCAGGGGCTTTGCACTTGCTTCATCTCCCTGAATGTCCTGCACTAGCTCTCTTACTCCATTAAGGATCTGCTAGAACATCTGCCCAAAAGAGTAACTTCTCCCAAACAATTTACATAAACACACGTGCACACTTAGGCACTCTCAGATACGCTCACACCACCATCATAATTACCACAATCTCTGTTCCTCTATATTTTCCTGCTTTTAACAACTTAGAAAGTACATGTTTATGGGTCTATTTTTGTCTCTTATCTCTATATTTGAATGTAAGTGCTATTAAAATAGTTTTCTTTTTCCTTTTTTCCCCTGATGTATCCCCAGTAAGTACTTAGAAGAAGGTTTGGCACATAATATAATTCTCAGTTCATACATGTGAAATTAATGGATGAATTTATCATCAATAGATAAATTGGAAATCTCAATTCTGACAAGAGGGATTGCCCCAAGAGTTTCCTATAGTACCATCCTATTTTATTCTCTCTCTGGGTTGGCTTCATCACTCAAAACAATTTTTAGCCAGGTCAATAGCATAAATGACCCCAAATGTTGTAGTGTGTCATGAACATTTGCCTCCAACTTTCTCCTCCCCATGGTAACCATGGTTCAGCATCTATGACTCTTCCCTCCTCTTCCTCTCAGTTTCAGGAGCTCCTTGTCGGCCCCAGCCCTCTTTACTTTGGGTGATAAAGGTAATGTGGGGAGAAGCAGCAGCTGCTTTAACTCCAGCTCTACCTTCTCTGTTCACAGTGGCCCAATAGCCTATAGACTCCCATGCCTGACCTGGCCTGTGCAGCTTGGGGCCATTAGGATGGTCTCTGTCACCTTGGATTTTTGTTCATTTTTTTTTCTTGCATCAGTGTGGCCATTTGCAAAATCAAAAATTGTAAAAGTACCCACAGGGAGAAATAGACTATGTTTTATTGATCCTAAGATCTCGGCCCCCTCCTTTTTTTCCCATTACATTTCACACCTCTAACATGAAGTACTGTCTGATTGTTGGTGCTCAGCAGGTAAAAGTTCTATGAAGTTACCATAGCCTGAGCCTGTGTGAAAACATAATGATTATTCATAGGGCATGTATGACCACCCATGCCCCATGACAAACCAGGTCACAGAACTTTTGAGGACCATTTGAAGAAGGAAAATAATCAGGTTACTGCATATTTTTTTAAAAAGAACAACAGTCCCAAATGGATTTCTTTTGCTAAGCAAAAAATTTCACATGTGAAACTTCACATGTGAATGTGAAATTTTAGAAAATATCAACCAGTTATTTTAACTTATATATATTATTTATATGTATTGCATTAGAGTGATGCATAATAAAAATCTAATTGTCAAAAGCTTTTTTGAAGTTTAAATTGAAATTATTAGTAAAGAGGAAATAGAGCATCAAAGTTTAACTTAAAATATTTTTCCCCTTAGTGATACATAAAACAAAGGTGCACTACACCAGTGAAGGAGCAGTGCATGAAACACAGCCATTAGACCCAGTTACATAAAAGCCCAAACCCCTGTTTAACAAAACCTAAGGAATGTACACCAAATGGGTTACTTTTGCCATCTGGCACTCTTTGGAAAGTCACAGACTCAATATTAATCTAAAATTTTAATTATATTACAAAGCTATATTATTTGGAAGATGTTTTTGACTCAAAGTTAAAAGATATCAGGGCTTTGTTGGTGGCACTAGGGGTTAAGTGTCAGCACTATAAAGCTATCCAGAGCCTCTGCAGCACGAGCTTGATCCCCAGCCAGCCAGGGTGCTACCCACATGGTGCAGCAGACGTCTCCTGTCTCGTCCACTGCTACCCTCAGCAGTGTATTTCAGTCAGTCTGACTGTTCTGCTCCCCACTCTGTCTCTGGTGAATCTCCTCACCCCCACACCTCTTGCCTACACCCCAGCTCTTGTATGCATAAAAAAAATCTTTTTTAAAAAGGTAAAAGATCTCAATATAGTATTGGTTTTGTTGTACAATTTACCCTCACAGATAATGTTATCTTCAATAGTTAAAGATGTAGAATTATTATGGTAACCTTAAGTAGGAGGAGGCCCGGCAGGTTGGGAAAGTGTTTTTGGTTCTGTTTTCCAACTGTTTTCTTCTCTTTCCTTTCCTCCCTCCACATCCAGAAGCAGCCACTTTTCTTTAAAGGATAAAATAGTTTCACTTTTCTGTTTGAAAACATTTGCTTAACAAAGTAACATGCTAAATGTAGATTCTAGGCCGATATAGTCCTCCAATTTTTATTTGACAGGATTTGGGGTAATAATGTGACTTCCCAGTTTGTTTCTTTTGTGATCATATAATCCTCTTCTCAGTGCCAATGTCTGCTGTGTGAGCTACAAACACTTGTGAGTTTAGGAGGCACAAAAAGCACAGGGTTTCCTTGGGATCAACACCATACAATTGCAAATTATGGACAATGTAAGGCTGTGTCTAGCCTTGTAACTGCTATTGCTTTGTTCTATGCTTCTAGGAGTAGCAAAACTGTCCTTTGCAATTAAAACCTACACTCACCTTAGCGGCTGACTTTTTCATTGGCTACCTGGAGAAGAGAAGGAGTTATTTCTTATAGATTCCACCCCTCTGGATCCCATTCAATTATTTTTAGTAGAAAACGTGAAATCTTACAAGAGTCTTACATAATTCCTAATTGCAGAATTTCACCTTAAGCTATACAGTCATATTTGCCTCTTCAATTTTTGTTTCCTGATACATTGTGGTATGTCTGATGACCTATAGGTACACTGTGCAAAATATCTGGCTGGCTCACAGTTTACAGACGCACCGGGAGTCAGTCCTTTTCTATGGCATCATATCCATGAGAATGAAAATGCTTAAATTAAACATTTAAATTTATCATCTAATCCATATCAAGCAATGCTCTGTGACTCCCTTCCTTCCTATATATTGCCTTTTAGATTAACATGAATCCATGCCTGTACAGAGATTCCGGCCTGGGAGGAATAAATACAGGGGAGAGGAGCACAAGGGCATGCCATGCCTGCCTGTTCATACAATTGACCTCAGTTGGTGGTGGAATGGACCCACCATCTCCTCCTACACACGTAGAAACAGCAACATGCTTTATCCATATTGTGTAGTTTATTTAGTTGATGCCTACTGAAGTCCTTAACACCTCTGTGGATTTATTTTATTTGATGAATTATGGCCCAGTTACCATCAATACGACTCATTGCACTGTCTGTGGGAGAGGGGAACAAAACAGTAAGACAGACAGATAATATATCACTGTCAACAGAATAATCGCAACACACTCCTGCCCAAGGAAGAGGGGTGAATAGAACACTTCTTTTCTATTGTTTATTTGAGCACCGAAGGCTGGGTGATTGGGCTATATTTTAATAGATGAGTGTGTCAAATATGTGACTGAAGGAAATGTTGAAACAATGATGGTAGAATAATCAATATTTTGGAGGTAATGAACATTCTGAGTTTAAAAGATGTCAGACGTGAAAGACGATGAGGAATGATCAACTCCAGATGCCACCCTCAAATGACAAGGGTATTGATGAGACTGAGCATCTGACCCCAGAAATGGCCCGACGAGGTCTGCTCCTAACGCCGGCAAGATTCCGGGCAGCTACACAGCTCTTGCATGTACCGGCGCGTGCAGCCCGCCCCGCCGGGCCCCGCGGGAAGCTGCGGCGCGCGCGGGGATTGCGACCCGGGCCCGCCGCCTACCTGGAGAGTTTCCGCAGCGCCCAGGTCAGGACCACGGGGGCGGACAGCTCCGGGCGCGGGGCGCGGGGCAGGCGGGGGCCGCGGGCGCGGCGGGTGGCGGAGACTGGAGAACCGCGGCGGCCCCCACCACCGCCCCGCGGGCCCCACCCGCGCCGGCTCTTCCTGTCCCCGCGCTGGGCAGCGCGCGGCCTGGTGGGCCCGGCCGGGCGGCGCGTCCCTGCTTGGGCAGGGGCACATCCCAGCCGCCGGCCGCCCTCCCCCTTCCCGCTGGTCAAGGCCGCGCGCCGCGCCCCTCCCGGGCGAGCGGGGTGGGCGGCGCCGGCGGGTCGGGGCCCGCCCAGTCCCCGCCGCCCGCCCGGGTCTGGCCTCCCATTGGCCGCGGGCCGGAGGTGCGAGGAGGCGGGGCCCGCGCTGGCGGCTCGCGCCCGGGAAGGTCGGCCGGGGAGCGCGGGGTGCCGCGGGGAGGGCGCGCGGGACGAGGCGGGCGCGGAGGAGACGCAGCGGCGCTGGCGGCAGCCGCGGCGCCCGATCCTGGCCGCTCCCCCGGCCTCGCTCCCGCGCGCTGCGCCCCCCGCCGCGGCCCCCAGCCTGCGGCGCCCGAGCTCCGAGGGCGCTTCCCCGGGCGCCGGGCCCGAGGCGGCCAAGACGGCGGGCCGGCCGGGCGCGGGGCGGCGCGCGCTGTGCTGCGGGCTGCGCTGGTGGGGGGCGGCGGGCCGCGGCGCGGGCCCGGGCCCGGCGCGTGCGGCTGGGAGGCGCTGTGGGGGGTGGGCTCGCGGGCGGCGGCCGGGACCATGGCCGAGGGCGGCGGGGGCGCGCGGAGGAAGGCGCCGGCGCTGCTCGAGGCGGCCCGCGCGCGCTACGAGAGCCTGCACATCTCGGACGACGTGTTCGGCGAGTCGGGCCCGGACAGCGGCGGGAACCCCTTCTACAGCACCTCGGCCGCCTCGCGGTCCTCTTCGGCCGCCTCCTCCGACGATGAACGCGAGCGCCCCGGGCCCCCGCGGGGTGCGGCCGTTCCGCGTGCCCCGGACGCCCAGGAGCCCGAGGAGGACGAGGCCAGCGCGGGCTGGAGCGCCACGCTGCGAGACCGCCCGCCCCCGCGCTTCGAGGACACGGGAGGTGAGGCGCGGCCCGGGGGGTCGGGGCGGTGCTGGGACCCCGGGCTGCCCTGAGGACCTCAGCCCCCGGGGAGGCCTGCGTGCTGGGGCGGGAGAATTCCAGGTGCCGCGTGGGTCGCCGGGTTGGTGGTGCGGTACGTTCCAGGAATCAGATGAGGCCGCTGGAGCGGGGATTTAAAGTGCGAGAATCAGTCTGCGTGTGGGGGCTCGTAGGTGGAGATCATGGAGAGGAGGCCCGGCCAGCACTTTGTCAGTGGCAAGGACAGCCGTGGGAGGGTCCTTCCCTCACTTCCTGGGAGCGCGCCAGCATCCTGCCTCCGTTCTAGGCACACCTGTGGGGTCGCTCCTTAGGGGTGCTAGAGTTAGGCGATCCTCGTTGAGGGGATATTGAAAGCCTGACATGCTTGGAGGGTGGTGTCATTCGGTACAGATGATCCTGGAACAAGCCTTACCCAGATGCCAGAAATAGGACTGGTAGCATTTTGAGCGCGGACCAGTGAGAAGCCACCCACCGCGTCTTCACTGAGTTTTCGTTCTCTCCAGTTAATCTAGGAAACTTTCCCTCTCCCTGCCGTTCAACATCTCATGATTAGAACAAGACAGGGAGAGTGAAATGACCCGCTTAGCAGCATTAGTGTGTATACTCTTGCAGCAGAAGGCAGTTTCCCATGGTCACAGATGCACCTCTGTCACCTGGAGAAGGTAGCAGGAGTGCTGGCAGCCATGGCTGCTTTGAAGTCCTCTTTACTGCCTTCTTTTGCAGAGTTGGGTTGTCAGATGTCACTATTGACCCTGCAGAAGCTCAGCCGTTTCTGACTGCTTTGAGAGTTGGAGACCCGCGGTTTCCAGCATCATCTGATACTTCTGTCCCTTCCTGCTCAGCTTTCTGTGGCAGGCCTGTGTTCCAGCACACCATTTTAGTTTGTGGAAGTGTGAGCAACCGGTGTGGTTGAGGGCAAGGGAGTGGCCACATTGGGGCATGATGTGGCTTTTCCTGTGTTTCTTCCTGATGATTGTTTACCCAGTCAGGAATAGGGCACATAGGAGGCCAGGTGCAAGAGGCTCCCTGGTGGTGGCTGGGACTGGGGTCTGGACATCTTGCTGCAGCTTGCTGGTAGGCTGGTAGGGTAGGCTGGTTGCTGTCAGCAGGGAGTGTTCTGCAGACCTCCAGCAGGCGGCCTGCAATATGGATGCGTTGAGCTGCAGTTGGGCTTACAGAGTCCAATTAACTGTCTAGTGCATTAGGGTGGGTAAGTGTAAAAGTATCTCCTCATTTGGGTTTTAGTTAAGAGTTTAGGAATTTTCAAAGTCATATCACTCTGCCAAATACTTTTACACCCCCTTACATTTTCTAGAATGTCATGATGGCTTCCTGCTATGGACAGCTAGTATTTTTCATATAGGTTCTTTAAGCATTGTGCCTACCCAGAGTCCTGATTTGGCTGATTTAATGCTATGAGTTTCTGTGATTCAGTTTTTGATCTTGGAACACTTGAGATGCTTCTCTACCTGGGAAAAGCACAGCAAGTCTCTGTATATTTTAGGGGCAAGTAGAGGAATTATGTTAGGTTAAGTCTAGTTATGAGTAAAAATGAGTAAGGATGAATTTTAAAGCAACAGAATGTTCCTTAGTCACCTATAAATGGGAGGAATTCTGCAGCAAAGTAATTTAATTTAGCTGCTGCAGCACTTAGATAGTCGTAAAGAGCATTATCCTCTGTCATTTGGTGTTAGGTTCAAATTGTGCTTCCTTCTGGTGTCCACTGAGTTCACACCTGGACCTGAGAATCACAGTCAACCACTTGAACGAAAGACATTAGTGGTCATTTGGTGGCATTTATATCCAATTGTGTTTTCCTTTTTTGTGTGGACACTTGCTTTTTAAATCCAAACCTAATTAAGAATTTCCTTCTTCCGTGCAACACTCTCTCCCCCAGGGAAATTTGAGATGGAGGTGGAGGGATAAGGTTGATGGCTGATTTAATCATGAATTCAGATTCCCTGAAACAATGGAATTTGACTTATAGGGCCTGAAAATAGATGCAGAAATCTGTTGCTGGTCAGAAAAATAGTAGAGTGGAGAAAGATGAGTCTGCGAGCTGTACCCCGGCTGTTCCGAGAGCAGAGATTTAGCCTGCTGCATTTATTAAAGTGAACTATCTAAGACACTCAACCAGGGCATGCTCCCTACTTTCCAGGAATCAGCCTGAGTCTCTCTCTTCCTTCTTTGTTCTCTAGTTTATCAACTAATCTCAACTGGTGGACGGGGAGGCAAGCAAGAACAGGACATTTTGATCTGCAAGCGGCCCTCATAGGAAATTATAATAGGAACTGCTGTTGCTGCTAGAATCAACTGAGGAAAGCAGAGGATTGTAGACTTATGGGACAGGCTTCCTGCCTGCTTTCTGCTGTAGAAACATGTGTCCATGTATGTGCATAAATATGTTTTATTGAACTAAGGCGTGTATGTATATGTGTAGCCGTATCTTGTATGTAAATGTGTATTGCTTGCATGTTGGTTTGGGCTGAGGAGTTTCTTTTATCAAAGACTGTAAGTGCTTCTGGGGAGCCCCTTGATGACCTAGCACCCCATTCAGAGTCCCTGTATATGAAGGAGGTGGAGAAAACAATGAGGACCATTGTGCCTTCATCTGTATTCCCAGCTGCCTTTGCCCGGGGGTGGGGGGACACACACACACTTGGGAGATACTTGAGAAGAAGGGAAGGAAGGTGGAAGCATTTCTCTGGTTAAAGTGGAGACTCCTAATCCCTGTCTTCCCTGCCTCTTGCTTCTGTTTTCCTGTGAATTTAGCTTTCTGGATCAGTCTCCCAAAGTGTTGTCAATAATTGTGAGTGTCAATCCCCTCTTTCTTTTGTCTTCTCCTCCTGCCCCACCCCAGGTTCTGGCTATGACTTGAAGTGGGGATTCCCTTGGAATGATTTAAGGATAGATACTGCTTGCAGGGCTGCCCAATGCGCATAGCCTGCCTCAGGGTGGAGGGGCCGGCTGGGAGCTGAAAATAATGGAATAGTAGGCCCAGCCCCTCTCTTAAGCAGACTTACAGCATATCACCCTAAAATAGCCCCTCAAGCTGTCAGCCTTCTCTGCCCACTGTGCAAATAACCAACACAGCATGCAAGCTCACTCTTTGGAAACAGCATGAAATTTGGGCCCTTCTGCTTTTTGGGTTTCCGCCCTTTTAGTTTCTTATTCTGAGCAGTCTTGTGATGTCTTCTCTCTGAGGAGGCTGTGGAACAGGCAGGCAGATTCACAGATGCAGGGGGGAGGCCTCTTCTATCTGTTTGGTTTTGTCTTTTTTTCTCAGCTCTTTGTCATGGCTGGATGGGAGCTGAGCTGTTGGCTCCTTCTTTTAGATGTTGAACTTCATAGGAGTTTTTTTCCCATGTACCATGTCAGCCCCCTTTGTAATCATTCAGTGGGGAGAAATGACCTTGAAAACCTGAAGAGGAACATATGGTGTTGAAAATTGACATTGTTGAATGTTTTATCTTCAGAGTTGGTTGTTGATTTATTTGTTTTAAAGTCTCTTTGACTAATAAGTAACAAGAGAAAAATCTTTGAAGACCAGAATTAAACTGAGCCCTTCTCCTGTGATGTGATTTGTGAGCTAAGGTACTGGGCTTCCCCTCTGGGGTCAGTCTCAACAGCTGCTCCCTTCTCTAGCTCATTACCACCTGGAGCCTTGGTGAGCTACAAGGTGAAGGCCATGCAGCACTATGTAATAATCAAGCCATGCAGAATTCAGAGAAGGAAAAACATGTTTTGCTCTTTTCCCAGGAATCTGATCATGTGTAGGTGTGACTTGAGCTCATGATGATGATAACCCAAGTTCACATTTGTAATTTGCTTTCTTGTGCATCATCACTGAATTTTCACTAGCACTCTGTGAAACTGAAGCGATCATCTTTACTTTCCAGAAGAAAACATGTCTTTTCAGTCAGAGTCTGGTGATGATGATCACCTAGTTAAGGGATCATCACCCACCAAGAGTAGTCATATTTTTGTGTTTATACATGGAATTTATTTTAATTTGGGAGGGGGGATATAAAGTTGTATGAGGTGTAACATAAATGTGAATTAGTGACCTCAATCCCACAATCAGGATATGGAGCAGAAGACCTAGAACTTTATCAAGCTCCTTACTTCATCCCTACTATCCCTGAGCCATTGCAATGGTTGTTTAAAGTTTTTCCCCCATGAGGGGACGGGGTGGAGCACAGGTAGGTCTCGAATATACTGGCAATCTGGGAGTTTATGTGAGATCTCAGTTTTAGAGCCTAGAACTCATCTTTATTTTTAAGAACTATGATTGTATATTTTTTCTTATTAACAAGTAATACATGTGCAATTTTAGAAAATGATAAAATTTTAAGAAATTTAACAATTTCTCATTACCCAGAGATAATCAAAGTTAACCCTTCATATATCTTAAATGATGTATTGTTGAGTGACCTGCATTGTAATTCTAATTAGTATACTGTAAATACTTTCCATTTAAAATTTAAAATGTGATTTTAATGAGTTCATCATATTTTACAGTTCCCTTTGGGTGGGGTACAGAGATTATAGCCCTCTCCCCTTTTATTTACATTTATTTATTCACTTATCTTTTATGCCATGGTAAATATTCTTCACTTGTGTACTCTTCATTACTAGATTCTTAAGCACAGAATGATGGAGACCAAATTGAATCAAGGGCTTTGTACATATTCAAGTCTGTGATGTCTGTTGTGACATAGCCCTCCAGAAATGTACCCCCTTACACTCATGCCAGCAGTATGCTGAAAAGCTTATTAGGATCTTGCTATAAGGCAGCAAGCCAACGTGTGTTCCCACTGGCAGCGTGGCTCTTAGTGGGCATGTTCATAGTAAAGCCCACAGAGGTGTAATGTGCGGGGTGCATGAATTACAGTGCATAGCTCAGTGTCTACAACTACCACCCAGATCAAGATAAAGAACATTCCCAGCCCCCTGAAGTT